ATTTCCGTTAAATCAAAAACCTTTTTTTCGTAACTATTAAAAACTTTCCCGAAGTGTATACAAGAAGCCAAAAACACATAACATTCTGAATGTCAAGCAATAAATAGCACACTTCATATCAAACAATATTATTAAAAGTCCCATTGCCTGATGAAACGGAAGTAAAATGAAGCAAACAGTTATAAAAGCATATGGATCATATGAAATGAGATCTAATGGAGTCCCACTCAGCCTTCAAATCCTCTAACTCATCTCTTGCTTGAGCCATCTCCAGCTCTTTGACTTCAATCACGACATTCTGATCTTTTGCAGTAACATAAAATTCATGTGTTTTTTTCGATGCTTCTCTTCTTTGCTCTGCAAGCTGTTTTGCTTTTTTCCTGGCTGCCTCCAGCTCTTTTTCGAGTTCGTAAGTTCTGGTTCTCAACTTGTCTAGTGAGCCTTGATTCCCTCTTCGGTTTTAACTGCATCTTCGAGTAAATTCTCGGTCTTCTCGAAATTTGACAAGAAACTCTGGCAGTCAACAAGATCCTGAACCGAGTCCTTCCAGTCTTCAATAATCCTGGGAAATTCACCTTTCAACCTGTTGAAGACAAAATAAAATAAATAAATAAATCTTTCATGTCCATAACATCTTAGACTTTTAGATGATGTGGTTTAACATGATATCATAACCAAGGTTCTGAGTTTAAGTATTGCTGCCACCCGTTTATGAAAATTGTATACGTGTCAGGCAATTGGTCAAAACAACTCACACGAGGAGGTGAGATAAAAATGAGCTTTGAATAAATAAACTTGTCCCATCTATTATAGCTTAAACCTTTGAGGTAATTCAATACAACCTTTCGATTTGTTGGATCTGTTCCTCGGAAAATGAAGTAAAGTCGTTGCCAAGTGTAAACAAAGATTCTCTCATCGCACTTTCATGACTGGGATCAGCCAAATCATTCAAGGGAAGTAAAATCAACTCATTGAAATGTCGTTTTACCAAACCCGCATTGTCTTGAGCATTACGACCAGTGATGGTGATGGTAGAATCAGATATTGAGCTAAAAGATCTCTTAGATGTCGACTTAAGGAATGATTGAGCCTTGCTGTAAATAGAATCCATAGTATCTAAGTGAAGGGGGTTATTTATTCTCGGATGAACAGCAACAGAAGAATCAGCAGGTTGGTCCTAAAAATGGGTGCACAATTTAAGCAAGCACCAAATCAAGAAACAACCACAACTAACTAATCCTTATTCTCAATAAATTTAGTGTCGACTAACTTACTCTATTCCCTGAAACTGGAGAAATAGCACTCACAGATACCTCAACTTCAATTATACATGTGTCGTCAAAAAGATAAGCTCTGCCTGGATCGTGCAGTTTATCAAGAGAGATAAAAGTAGCAAATCCCCAACTAACATGCCCATGCTTGAATGTGCATTTTGTGTCTGCAGAGTACTGTTAAAATTAAAAACAATCTGACCAAGAAACAATGAAAGCAACAGATTTTTTATACTTATTCTTTAAACAAATTATAAAGAGGGAGACCACCCTATTTATAGGGTTACAAAAGGAAAGTTCTAAAATGATTAAGCAATCAAACTTTTAGAAAAATAATCTAATAGAATTTAAAAAATATGACAATCACGAAGATCACAGGAATCTTTCCATATTCTTAACAAGAACGACAAAAAATTCGAATTTGCTTAGTTTCCAACTCAAAGCGTATGACAAAAACTGCTATTGATTAAACAACTTCAAGACTGCATAGACAACATATGAAAAACAGGTCAGGAATATTTCTTAAATTGGCATTGCCAAACTTCTTTAAGGTCATGCTCCGAGTTTCAATGTGAACAAGATTTACCTTGTAAGGGCATATAGAGGTTTTTTTAACAATGTGGAGCTTAGTCATATCTTACACTTATCCCGTGGATCGCAGA